CCACACAGTATATATATTCTACTGCACACCGACCGACCCGAAGTTCAACACATGTAAAGCGTTCACTGAGCTCAGCCTCAGACAATGGTAGCGGCGTCTTTTACTATATAGTAAAAAGGCTCAATGAAACAATCTGTCAATAGTCATACAACTGCTCGATTTAATATTAGGCGACTAGGATTAGTTCGAAAGCGTTCAAGTAGGTAGCAGCGTCAGCACGGGTAGGCTGCAAAGGAACAGGTAAAGGTTTATTCCATGCCAAAAGAAAAAGAAAAGACACAACGTTTCGGCTGCGGAGCCTTCTTCAGGTGTTAGTTTGAAAGCGCCGGACGGTGTAATAATACATTTGACTGGATAAAAGAGGTTGGATTGCTATAGCACAATACTCCCAGCAGAGGGTGAGATGGAACATATTAGCGGCAGTCTTCCTGTATCCCATCATTCCCAGGGCGCGGTGGTGCCGCCAGCCCAGTAGGACCTGCTCGCTCGTTGACTCAGCCTCACTCACACATCGAAAGCGAGCAAAGATGGCGGATGTTGACTCCTGGGGTAAGACTCTCCGACGGGAGTGACTGGTTTCCTTTGAAAAAAAAAATACAGAAATGGGATATGCGTGCGGTGCTGTTCCCCGCGGCTGACAGTCTGTTCTCTGTGTTTTGACAGACGCGGACTATTTCGAGCCGGAGGAGCCGATCAACAAGGCGGCCGCGATAGATCGGTGGGAAGGCGAAGACGAGGAGGAAGATGTGAAGGTAGATACGGGCGTCCAGGCAGCCCGGAGCGGGACCTCCGCCACAGGCCGCGGGGGCCCGGGCGCTGCTGTCTGGCCGCTATAGTCAGCAACCAAGAGGGTACACTACTAGTTTTAGATCTGGGTTTTGTTTGCAGATCCGCTTTGTCCATGCTGTGGCTGTCTCTCTCTCCCTCCTGTGCAGTTTTCCGAGCGCCGCGCTGTGTTTGTGCGGAAAGAGTGTAACGCTGGCTGCCGGTATAGACGCACTGACAGGCCATGTGAGAGCGAGTGAGCGGCTGACTGTATTCGCTCCGCTTCGGCAGTTTTCACAGGGGCCCCCGTCTGTGTTTTTATTTTCTTCTTATAGTAGCCCGTGTTCAGCAACGTGCTGCGAATCGGCAGAGTTGTCGGGAGTCGATTTGAACGAGGGCGACGCGCTGCGAGTCGTGCCCATATGTTTTACTCGTGGCAGGTCGGCGTTTCGCCTCTGAAGAAGAGCTAGCGGGAGTGCGTGACAGTACCCCTCCTTTCAAGTGATGGCACCGTGTGCTCCTGCGTCTAAAGATAACGCTGGATTCCCGTCGTTACACACGGAGCTGTACAGATTAAAAGTGAGCGTGTGTTTAGAGAGCGAGTACTCGGGGGAGTGAGGCGCACTATGGCAGGAGTGAGCAGTCATGCCGTCTTTGGGCCTGATCGGATGACGGAGTGGATTGCATTAGTTTGAGTCAGCCGGTGCATTTTTTTAACCTTGATTTTAGAGAAATGACGACACCAGTTAAGTCATCTTATTGCTCTTGATGTCAATAACCAACGAGCAATACGTGTGTTTGTAGTTCTGGGGGGATTTGATGGTTTTTAAGCGAAGTTTTAAAAAGTTTAAATAGTCATACCTCACAGAGTTACCTCTTAGAAATATTAAATGGAGGATGTGGCTTTTGCATTAATCGTTACATAAGGAATGTTTAGTTCTAATGGTTTATGTTGTGAAAGTACCTTTCCTCTGCACTATGTCTGTATTTCAGCAATGGCTAACCTGGAATGTTTGGTATAGGTCGTGAACTGGGAAGCTTTAACATTTGTTTCTAACCGGATCTTATCCTTTACCTGTAACAGTGTTTTCTTTCCATAGTTCATCTTTTTTTTTCCACAATTGACTTTGCTGTCTCTGAGGGATCTCAGTGGGATCCATTTATACATCTATCAAATGTGAACGTTTCCTATTAGGTTAGTAGGCCCAGGCTAAACCCAGGTTCTGTTGGTTATTGAAGCTGAAACAAGACACTGGTGACATCAGAGACACAATGAGTATTCCTAGAACCATTTCTGTGAGCCCCTTGTCTTTGTTCGGTCTTTTCCAGAATCCTCCCTGGCAGGGAGTCAATAATGCTACAGAAAGGTCTAGTGCTTACTGTACAACAGCTTACACCCGCAGATCAGCTCGTTTGGTTGAGTACCAGGATTCATATATTGCACTATGGGAAAGTATTGTTCAAACAATTTACAGTAGTTCCTGGTTTTCCTTTCAGATATAAAGATAATTTTGACCCTGAAATGAGCTGAGCTAGCTAACGGAGGGCAGAGATATTGTTGGATAAGGTCACAGGGTGTGATCTATTTCTAAGGAATCAAGCATTAAGACTGCTCATGATTTGTCCAGAAAGTGCCGTTCAGTTTAAAACCACTTTGTGTGTAAAGTTAAGCGCTGTGTAATGTATTGTATAAATGGCAACAGAAAAGTTAAAACGGTTCAGGTTTGCGAACTTCAGTATTTGTTCATTTGTTTAAAAACGCACACTGCGCAGGGCAGCAGGAGTGATGAAGGAGCCGGTGTAATGTGAACCTCCAGTTCTTGGCACACACATGGCTGTCCGTGCCTGTGTGTGTGATGTTCGGAGGAAGAGCAAGTGGTAGTGTAATGTCTTCGGTACCAGTGAGCCTAACTCTCCTGGTCCTATCCTCAAGCACTGGCACAAGGTCAACTGCTGACTGCTGACCAGTGAGATCTTTATAGTTAGCCTTGACCGTAATAAAACATACATGCATGTGGTTCATGTTATTCATAAGCTTGAAACAGAAGTGTCTTCATTGAATGACCAAGGCACCTTCTTCATTGGTATCCTGTTGACGGTGAAGTTTAATGTTGGTTTTGGTTGTGGGAGAAGATTCCTTTGACTGGACGTACAAATTGACCAGGGTTTGCGCTTTCTATGAAGAGAGAAAATAGCACTTTAACAAGTTCATCCAGTCAGTTGAAGTCAAAAGCAGGCAGTCTAATTAGCTATAGGAGACGGTAGAGACTTCAGTTAGACCGTGAGCTGCTGTGGGATGTCTTGAAAAAAACTTTACCTGCTCCTTTCCTTCTGCAGGACAATTGGGATGACGATGAGGAGGAGGAGGAAGAGGGGAAAAAGGTTGAGGAGAAAAAAACAGGTGAGAAAGGAGAAAGCCAGCATTTAGCAGATAGTCTTATTTTAGTCTGTTTAATAACAGTGAATGAAATTGTCAATTTTATCAGTTTTTTTGCACAGTAATAAACAAAAATAAATCATTTACTTGTGCTTTTCTTCTTTTGCTTTGCTTTATAATCCAGAAGTAAAAGTTTCAGAGAAGAAAAAATTAATTGAAAAGATTAAAGAGAAAGAGAGTCGACTAAAGAAGAAGCAGGAAGAAATTAAACAGAGGGTGAGTATCGGAGCCGCTCGGTAACCACACACTATATACCTGTGTCACACGTGACAGGGATAGTTTTCATATAAAAAGCCATTCAAGCTCCCCACGTGTCTAGTAGGAAAGCAGAGGTAACTCGCAGAGGATTGAGTGGGGAGCTGTGTCGGCGTGCGTTGGCAGCAAAGGAACAAGTAAAAGTGAATTCACGCCGAAAAGTAGAAAGATTGATACACCTGAACAAGGCTGAAGAGCAGAAATGCTTTTCTTTTTGCTTTTCAGTGTGGAATTAACCTTTACTTAAGTTCTGTAAACATGGCATGTTTTGGGTTTGTGTGTTTGTAACTTGGATAATATGGGTGCCAAGTGTTAAATAAGTGCTGCATATTGTCAGTCCTGAAGCCCTTCAGGCTGCTGTGTAGTGGCACTTTCATCTGATCTGATCCCCCGTTGAGGATTTTCTGTTTTGTGCTATCTATTCAGTGAATGTTGTCTTTTTCTCTGTTTCTGATAACAAGTTAGAGGAACCAGAACAGCCTGCAGAGCTGACGCCAGAAGAACAGTTAGCAGAGAAACTTCGCGTGAAAAAGATGCAGGAGGAGTCGGACCTTGAACTAGCAAAAGAAGCATTTGGTAAGGGCAGTAGGAGCGTGGGGAGTTCCAGAAGAATGTGTGGGCAGTAACAGTGTTGTGGAAGAGATAGTGATGGTCAGCCGTAATTCTGGAAACTCTGATCCTACAGGCTTAATGCTTTAGGGGCGTAAGAACCTGGAACCTGAAAAATGGTGGCGACTTAGTGAGGCTTTTGAAGACTGGAGGTGGTCACTCTGTAGGTGTAATATTAGTCTGAATATGAATTTGCTTGATTTCGCGTAACAAAAAGAAAACAACTTTTAAACAGTTTGGCCTAGTATTGGTTGTTTCAAATGACATGAAAATAGTTGGTCTCTGAAAATATATTCTGTGTTAAAAACACAATTGGCCGTGTTGGTGCTGTAATAGATTTTGAATTCGCAGTGTCGATTGGTTTAGCTTGTGCATATTTAGAGGCAAGTATGGTTTTAAACCTGTTTTTTTTTATAAATGAGAGTGTTGTGAATTGGGATGTTCTGTAAATTTATGCTACTTTGCTTTTTCCCCTTGCAGGTGTAAATAATGTAACAGGAATTGATGCCATGAATCCATCTTCGAAAGAAGAATTTACTGAATTTGAGAAGTTGCTAAAAGACAAAATATCTCAGTATGAGAAGTCAGTGCATTTTTCCAGCTTTTTGGAATCATTGTTCCGTGATCTATGTATTTCATGTGAGTTCATACTTCCCTTTCTGGTTTTGGCATTGATTGGTCTTTAGTAGTTGTGTGCTCATGTTTGAATTTAATAAGAGCACGTTATTTATTTTTTTCAGACAGGCTTCTGTAAATAGCCTTTCTTGCTCTCTTTAAAATTGCTCAAAGACTGGAATGGATTTACCAGTCCTTATTGGGAAAAGTTGTTCTCTGCTAAGACAAACCAAATATGCACAACCGAAAACTGTTCATTCGTTTATTAAGGCAATTGAAGCATTAACAATTTTCTTTCATTTGCAGTGGATGTGGATGACTTGAAAAAAATCAGCAACTCACTGACAGTTCTATTAAGTGAAAAACAGAAACAAGAAAAGGTAAAGACTTGTGATTTTTAGACGTACTAATTTCGAAATGATAACTTTATTGAACAATGAGCAATCCTAGTAAGCAGCATTAAAGTTTCCAGTTGAATTACTGGCACCAGTGCTGAGTTAGCTGTCTGTGACTCCCATCAGAAATGAGCTTGAATCCTGACATTTAGTTCTGCTTTTGTACACTAGGGGGAGCATAAATACTGCTGAATGTGTGCCTTGCTTTCAGATTTTTCCTAGTCAATGTTTTATAACTGTTCACTGTAGATGGTCATTTAACAATCTTACTGTCAGTTAATATGATTTCCGGTTGTTGAATTGTTCAGAAATAGGCTGCATTTGGAAAATGAGGAAATATATTGAACTGCCTTCTAGTGAAAATATGAAAGTATGGATTTATATGTGCTGTTTGATACGGTGTATACATTCCCTTTTTCTTTTGTAGCAAAATAAGGGGAAGAAAAAGAAGAAAGGTGTAGTCCCAGGAGGGGGTCTGAAGGCCAAGATGAAAGATGACCTGGCAGACTACGGGGAATATGATGGAGGCTATGCACAAGACTTCGAAGACTTCATGTGACAAAGGCCTATACCAGCAACCTTGCTCTGCTCTCCACAGTCCCTTAAACATGCAGCACAACTTCCTCATTTTGTCCATTCTTAAAGATGTGGTATCCTTGTTTGTGCTCAGTCTTTGAAGGTTATAAAGGCTTTACAAAGAGCATGACCTCCATGTGGTTTTGTCTCTCAGTTTAAATAGCTGGCTGTGACCTGATTCGATTCGTCCTGCTCCTCAAAATAACCAAACACGCTCAGTTTTCAATGGAGAAAATGACTGAACTGGAGTTAGAAATGCTTGCAGTAATTGGATTATGTGTATTAAAGAGGAAAAACATCAACGTCCAAAAACTTGACAAGACAATTTTAACTTTTTTTTTAAAAGGTAATAAGACCTGTGATGAAATGAATGAATAGTATTACTGTTTGATAACTCTTGCATTGACATGAAAATAAATCCGATCTTCTATGCAAATAAAAAAGAGTATTTTACTTTTCATGTGGACAGCATTTGCAGATCTGCAGAAAAGGATACTGCATCTTTATAATAGTTTGGATTGCCAAATATTACTGTTTATGTTAATGCTTTTGAAGGTGGTTCGGCAGAGCTGCATAAGCAGGAACTAAATGGCAGTCCTATGGTAGGATTTAATTAAACAGTAGCACTTAAAGCTGACTGTAAAAATACAATGTATGGACTACACTGACAAAAGAAATGGGAAAGTTATCCTATGTGACCATGGTCCTCTTGAAATGTTAAAATATTATGGAGTGTTCCCTGTATAGGGTGCAGTGTTTAAAACAATTGCTTTATAAGTGCAAGTGCATAATTTGGTGAAGATCAGCTCAATATTTTTGTGCATAAAGAGTTTAGTTTGTATTCATATTCTGTTTACTACTAATGCAAGTACAAGGGTTTGCAGTTTTCCCTCATTGCTGGTATCTTCGACAGCTTCTGCAGCCTTGTTCTAAGTATGGTTGGGAATTTGGCGTATTTAAAAGAATGGACCCGGGGCCTTTGTATGGGCTGTAATTAACAAAATATTGTAGGCCTTTTTTTCTAACAATTTAAGAAATTTGCTTAGCGTAAAGTGTTACAAACATTGGACATCAGAAATGCAAATTGCAGCATCTGCAGTGTTTTATAGAGCATCTAATTTAATAAAATCACTGTTCTGAAAGGCGTTCAGTGTACTTATTAATGAATGCATGGATATGCAGTTTAATTTTTCAAGCTTGACGTTTCTGCAACTTTTGCTTGACCCTGTGTACTGTGGCATGGATTAATGTATTGAGAGGTCATTTTACTCAGGACACTTGTATGCACAGCACTTGTATGGCAGTGATTGTTTTGAAAAAATGAAAAAATATTATATTAAGGGGGTGTTTCTCCTTTTTTTTTTTGAATGAAGAAGTGCTGTTTTCCCTTGACTTCCTGCAATTCAGGCGAGTTGTTTTTTAGTGGGTTATTTTTTTTAAATGCTGAATTGCAAAACATTGCTGGATAGCAGAAATAACATTTTTGAGTTATTTTGGGTCTTACATTTTTAAAAGTTTCCTCATACTTTTGATTCAGCCTTTTTGCATCATAATGAGTGTTGCAAAGTAACAGTCACTTCTTTAACATCCAATATTTTTACAGTTTAAAGTTGTCTACTATATAGTAAGGCAACACATACTCATACCTATGCTAAGCAAAGACTAAAGCATAGCTAAATAAATTTTAATGAAAGCGATGCCAAAAATTATATTGAGACTTTATTGTAAAATACTGCACAATGTTTTACAACCTAAGGGCAGAGAAGCCTAAAATTACAGCATCATTGAAGGGTTACCACAAGTTAAAAGTAACATGTTTGTTTTTCCTTTTTATCTCAAGGATGTTTGATATGAAGAACCGGTTGTAATTTTGTTTTTCCACCATATTTTCTCTAGACAAGTGTGAGAATGTTTAGAGAGAATGTTTATGGAAAATGTTGAGCCTACCAGAACATCACACAGATTCTGGTTGTTTAAATCCATATTTTCTATCTAGATTAATAAATCCCACTTTCCCCTCACAGCTAAGATTAAGGATTATGTGTCATTCTGCCATGCAGTGGTCTGAAAAAACTTGCATATTGCAAACTGTAGCCCTGAACTGGTCCCTTTTTGACCCTCCCATGAAGTAATAAATTACCCATTATTTACAATTTCAAGTACATGTGGTATTTATCACAGTTTGAAAAATAAGCTTTTAAAACATGCTGAGATTACATGTAAACATTGATTTATGCTTTTTTGTTGACGGGAAGACTTTTTATAACATTTAGTATTCACATTCTGTACAGAATGGTTCAGTATTACCAAATAACACAAAGGTTTATTTTTTAAAAAATGAACGACTATAGAGTTTTAAGATAAAAACAGGTAATGTTTCTTGCTTTAATTTTCAAGAAAATTGTTTTTGTTTTCCAAGTGGTCGAGTTCAAACTCGACGGATCTTGAGCGGCACGACCGTGCTCTCGTTTCTGTCCCGGCTGCGGTAGCGGGTGATGACCCGTCTCAGCCGGCGTTGGTGGCCCCGATTCTCTGGCGCAAAGTGAGAGAGTTGCGAGAGCGACTGTTCCCTCTCTGCCTCCTGTTTCGTCTCCCTCCTGGAACAGCGCCCACCAGGGACTGGCTGGGGCTGCTCTGTAGGCTCTGGAACACGCTCTGCTGCGTGACTTCCTTGGTGCCGCAGGTGAAGGTCAACGCCATCCCCACGCTGGTTTTCATGACCCTCGAGGAGCCATCCGAGGTGCCATCAAAGCAGCGGCCCAGCGCGATTTCCTTGGCGGTTCTAGGGTCCTGGTCGGTCACCGTATAAATGCCGTAGTTGTGGCCGAGAGGGTCCAGGGGGGCCAGCATGGTGAACTCGTTGGTGTCATTGTTGACCGCCAGGGGGAGGTGGTTGACCAGATACTCCTGCAGCATGCTGTTGACTCTCTCCCGCCTGCAGCTCCCCTGGGGGATGATTTTGACCAGGGTTCGGTCAACACGGTCCTGGTCATACAGCATGCCGCTGCACTTGAACTCCAGGCAAACAGCCGAGACGCCTTGGTGGTCCATGTCACGGATCGTGCGGGCGTCCCGGATCCCATAAAACTTTCCAACTGTCTGCGGGTGAGTGCCACCCATGTTTCGGGACCTGACCATAAGTTCTTGGGGCCCGTTTATTTTTACTTTGATATAGCATGCCCTGTACTCCATGGGCTTTGGCCACCAGCTCAGGTAGTCTTCTGTCCAGCTCATGGGATCGTCCTCATTGAAGGGAACTGTGTTGTAATCATACCGGTCGCCCTCAACCCTGTAAAACCTGAACTGACCTGCACTGAAGGGAGCTTCCTCGCATTCTTTAAGGTTTTCGTAAGAGTAGATGGGACCATTGCTTTCTTCAGCGACATTGGAGTTCGGTTTTGCCATGTTAACCTTAAAGGCAGTTTTCTTCAATTTGGGGTCCTCGTGGTCTGTCCTCCTGTAGTTCAGCTTATTGAGGTATGGCTGTGGGACTCCAATAGTGTTTGGGTTAAATTTAGGAGATGAAGCAACAGCCTCAAGCTCTTCTCCTCCCAAGTTGGCCATTACGTAGGCTGAGTAAGCGTCTGATTTTTGATCATCACAAAAAGCCGGCAAACAAGCGCCATTGGGGCCGGTGATGACACTGTCGAAACGCCCCCATGCTCGTGGGTTGGATGAGAAACCTGGTGTTGGCTCCAGATTAATCAGGGTTATCACCACCCCTTCCACCTGCTCGCTTGGCATAAACCTCTCGCTGCGAAAGGCCCTGACTTTCACATAGCACCTACGGTTCTCTGGGACGTCCAGGTTAAAGAGGCGCCTCTCCCGGATCTCCATGTTCCCTATGAGGAAGGTTCTTTCCTCCCGTTTCCCCCGCCTCTTCTTCTCCATGCGGAAGTCTCCTTCCTCCTCCCAGAGGCCTGTCTCTGGGTTGAGGGACCACAGTTTCATCGTGCTCAGGTGTTCCGGCACTTGGACCTGTGCTGTGTCCAGGAGCACCTTTACCTCCCCGGCGTTCAGGGACTCGGTGGCGTCTTCGTCCGTGAAGTCCACGGAAAACATCCCGTACGTCCGCAGGGGCAGCACGTCCCCTTCGCTGCTCACAAAGTTGAGGTCACTCTGGGCGGCGGCGGCAGTGGAGATGTCCCTGGGGTCCATGAAAGTGACGCTGGCCTTCACATTCCCCACGTAAACTTCGCCGTTTTCCCTGTAAAAGGCATAAGGAGGGATCTGTAGCTCTGCAATTGGGTCTTCCCCTTCTTTCTCCCCCAGCGCGACCACGTTTGTCTCGGTGGCGAGCAAAGTCACGGGTGGCTTCTTCCTCAGCAGCTTGACCTCGTGATAAACCGCTCCCCCCTTTTTGTTGAAGGGCAGCACTTTGGTGGTGTTCACGAACTTCTGCAAGTGGTCGACGAACGTAAGCACCAGCCTCTCCGTGTCTGTCGGCACCTGGATGGAAAAGGTTCCCTTGTATCCCGTCCGGCTGATTCTGACGCCGCCCATGAAGATGTGCCCGAATCGCAGTGGCTCCCCTGTGTCTGCAGCCACCGCCCGCCCTCGTACTATCGCTTTCGTCTTGACGCACTTCTGGCAGCCACACCTAGTGACCACCTTCATGGGCAGAGTGTAGCCCCTGCAGGCTATTTGCCTTTCTTCCATGCTTTGCACTCCGCAGCAGTACGAAACAGGGTCTTTGCACCTTATCCCGTTATCCAGCTGCCCAGCGCAGGGTCTTGTGGGACACTTCCCTACATCATAATAGAAGGAATCGGTAGCATTTTGAAAGCAGTCGTGAGGCAGCTGGATCAAGTAGGATTCAGGGTCTGGGTTGCATGTAGGTTCATCATACCCTGTTAAAAGAGTTTGAAAAAACCTTTTATATTCTAAATGCACAGCACAGCATTTGACAGCACAGCACAGCAAATGTGAAATCATCAATTGCACAGTAAAGCACGCTGCTTAGTTTTCTCCATTTCACTCAGAAAGTTTATATCCCATTTACAGAAATGTGTGTGATAGTGTTTAATATCCAGATGTAGTTGTGAATTTTGTGAAATGGAAAAAACACTGCAAAAAAGGCTGTGAATCCCAGGAGGTCACAGGAGCACGCTATAAAACTTCTTGGAATGAAGGATTTGGTATGCACACCTTGCACAGTGAGAGTAGCGGGCTGTGACTTGATGGAGCCAGCTTCATTGCTTGCCTTGCAATAATACTCCCCTGCCTGGTTTCTCTTCAGGTTTCTGAGCAAGAGAGTGCTATCATATTTCAACAGGCTCCTGTCCAGTAGGCTGCCATTATGATACCTGAAAAATACAGGGTAACTATTCAGTTCACGGTTTACTCCAAATTAGATAAAGATCACATCATCTAACTCATTAAAGCAACAAGACTATCACTGTGAGTTCTTTACATGGAGTAAATCACTCCCCTCTTTGAAGTACTGCCTTTTAAAAAGCTTTTTTAGACAATAGCAAACCCAGAAGGATAATTGAATTTACAGCACTTGTAAAATGGCCAGAAACAGTCTGAATTAAATAAAGAGCTACAAAGCAGTCCTCTGATTTTAGAAAAAGCATTGTGTAAAGTAGCTAGGAAGGAAATGGGTTTCTGTGGTTCAATACAAATAAAAAGGAATGACTGTTTATGTTGTGTCTTTTAATAAGTTTAAAATTCTATCCAAGACTGGACTAAGACAACGAGACTCTAAACTTCTCATTTGGGCATAAACACTAACCATGTTTGCAGTCATTGAATATGTGTGCATTGAAAGTTAGCTGGTTTTTACATTTGTATCCTTCCTTTGGCATGCAACAGCCCACAGCCCCCAGACTCCTGCAGTTCTCCTGCCAGTCTTACCACAGGTAGCTGTGAGGCTCCGGCTGTCCTTTGACCTTACAGCAGAAGGCCACGGTCTCTCCCTCCAGACGCACCCTGTTCTCGGGGTTCTTAACCACAAAGGGCTTCTCTGAAGGAGACACAGTGCCAGACAGCCCGTCAACACTTCACCAAGAGACTTCGCGGAGAGAAAAACAGACTGCACTGCATTAGGTCTTCAAAGACGGTGGGTGTCTGTGTGTTCCATTCTGTACCTGCTCTATCCAGCTTGATGTGAATGACGGAGATTCGGTCCCTGCTGAAGGGCACAAGGAGGGTCTTGGGGGAGTAACCCTGCAGCGTGACTCTCAGCGTGCTGTTGCCGTCAGGACACACCCCAGGTATTCTGAAGTGGCCATTGTGGTCAGTCAGGGTGAGGGGCTTGTCTGATCTGCCAGTCCTGTACAAGGTGGCCCCAGGGGCAGGCAGCCCACCCACAGTGTGCACGGTGCCCAGTAGGAGGTGCTCTTCACACATGCACGCGTCACACTCAGCATTGATGCGCCCCATCGGGCAGGTCAGGTTACAAGCTGCAACAGAGGAAAAGGTGCCAATGCTTTACTACTATTTAAAAGGACTCCCATGCTCATAAACCGAAGAAGAGCCATCCCCTAATTACAGATCACCGAGTACTTGAGCTTTGAGAAATCAAAATCGCGTTTCACTGTTATAAAAGCAGAAGGCAATGTTTCAATGTCAGTCAAATTCCCAGGTCTATACTAGTGGGATGCCCTGGTTCAATTCCACAGCTAGGGTGCTATCTGTGTGGAGTTTGCATGTTCTCCCTGTGTTTGCATGGTTTTCCTCCCACAATACAAAGACACACTGGTAGGTCAATTTGCTTCTGAGAAAACCGACCATGGTGTGAGTGTGTTTGCCTCTGCCTCTGTACTGGACTGGCATCACCTCCAGCTTGTACCCCACCTTATGCCCGTTGCTTGCTGGGATAGACTCCAGCTCTCCCACGACCCTGAATTAGATTCCCTCAACAGGAATATGTGCATTCATGTGGTACCAATTTAGAATCCATAACAATATGTTTGTTCTTTGCAATAATGTTGTTGAGGCTATTCCTCACCTTAGGAAAAAAAGCTTGTTGTGTTTGTCTCAGTGAGGAAACTCAGCAGGAACCCTCTCCTACCGTACCTGCGCAGGATGGTCCTTTGCACACTCTGCCTTCCACAGCGGGCCCGCGGCACTGCTTCTCCCAGTGGTGAGAGTGCGAATTGCAGCTTCTGGAGCGCATCTGCACGGCCGTCTGCCCGCAGCGCGCAGGACAGCGGCTCCACTCCGACCACTGGCCCCAGGCCCCCGGAGACAGGCTTCTGGGGGCGCCTAGGAGAGAACACCCGGGCCTTTGGCATAGATGTGAGGAACGGCGATCTTTTTAACCTTCACAAGGATGTCATCCCTGCAACTAAAGTGTGTTTTCTGCAGAGCTTTCAACACAGAAGGTACTGTACGTTCTTCATTTTGAGGAGGAAGATCTCCATATGTTTACAGCAGGTGGTGCTATCGCAAATAATCCATAAATTTGATTTAAACCTATAAAATAAAATCATGTGTGTGTGTGTGTGTGTTGGAAATAAAGACATTTTCTTCCACAGAGGCACTGACCTTTGGGGCACAGGAACCGCACTGCGTAGTTGGAGCAGTTCCTGCCGGCGGGCTGCTCTGCGTGCAGACACCAGAAGCCCCGGCGGGGGTCGGAGTGCACGCTCTCCCCCGTGCGCTGCGCGGGGACCCAGTCCGTGGTGCGCGCCTCCAGGCCCCGCGGCTCGTCGCACACGCGCTCGCGGTAGTAGAAGCGGATGGCCTCCAGCTGCTCGTAGTCGCCCCGGCCCCCGGGGTGGTCCACGTTGAACCAGGTGCTCCACTCCAGCTCATCTAGAATGAAGCGACAGCAGGGGAAAATGATGAGGGCTGGACGCCTGCTATAAGAATAAATATGGGGGCAGGAATAAAGGACGCTTTTTGATAAGTAACTTTGATGTGACTGTAAGCAATGGCACGAAGGCCGCAGCGGCATCGCCCTGTGTGCAAATCCCGTCAGATGTCAGATGCTGAGCAAGGTTTGGCCTGGTCAGGCCTGGGATGTGAGATTTCCAAGGAAAACCAGGTAACAGCTGTAAATGGTATTGGTGGACCAGTAGGTGGTGCTCAGCTTTCTGGACTAGAATTTCCAGACCAGTGCCCCAGGACGGGGAGACAGTGCTGCAGGAGGTGCCATCCTTCACATGAGGTGTTAAGTTGCGGTCTTGGCTGCTCAATCAATGAAGTGCCCAAGGCTCTAATTGTAATTGCAGGGGTATCACCCCGCTGTCCTAGCTAAATTCCACTTTGGTCCTGTACAATATGGCCTACCTAAACTTTTCCCCTTATTGTAATTAGTAAAACAATTTCTCACTGCTCCTTTAGTCTGCTGTGCAGTGGGGTTGCTGGGGCAGAATAACTGCAGCACATTACTCTGTTATGTACTGCAGTTCAGTGGGGGGTAAAGAGGGTCCCTCATATAGAGTATTATGCGATGAAAAGCACTGTATAAGTTTATTTATTTATTGTTATTTAATCTATCAGCATCATACTATTAAGAACACTGACCAATAATTATACAGCTACTACTATTGATTTTACTTGGTTTTTCTAACCCTTTTTAGCCAACAGTTACTAAATGTTCTTTAAAAGGGGCCGACTACAGAACGGTTGTGACAGTGTAAATTAGGCTTGCCTTCGTTAGCTTGCTGGGCCACGCCGGCTGTCCTCTGTGTTCCAGTTCGCCCTCTCAGAGGTGTCTTGTTCACAGCCAGTCCCTGGTTCCAGTTTCCTGGCAGGATAAATCACACAGTTGTCCGAGGAAATTCTGCACCTCCGCCAGCTGCTACTGGTGGCAAAGGTAACTGTAGCCGCTGTTTCACAGTGAGAGAACTGTCACATGTGATCACAGAAAACAAGCAGCCAGTTTCTACCATGTCTTTGTCTGTGAATCACTCTATGGGAGGCTGGCGCCGATTATGGGAGAGATCGAAGCCAATTAGATCTTGTGATTCTGTGCAACAACGTGTATTTAGGCTGGGAAATGAAACATTGCAAACCGTGCGCTTAATAGAGGCTTGGGAATCATGGTTGCCAATCAGTTAAGCTTAATTAATTAAGAACTACTGCTAGTGCATGATCAGGAAATCAGGACTTAATAAGTGAACTATTCTCAGGCATTGGTCATTAGCACACAGAAAATCCCCTGCTACAATAATGCACTCTCCTTTGGTTTCGGCATTTTCTCTGTCCTTTGTGTTTACATTTCCATGGCTGATCTGGGCTTTCTGGCAGCATGGTGGTGCAGTGAGCAGCGCTGGTGCCCTGGGTTCAATTCTGGACCTGGGGTGCTGTCTGCGCGGAGTCTGTATGTTCTCCCTTGGTTTGTGTGGGTTTCCTCTGAATGCTCCAGTTTACTCCCACAGCCTAAAGACATCCTGGTATACAGTAGCTAATTGGCTTGTGAGCCTCTAGGGAAGTCGTCCGTGGTGTGACTGTCTCTGTGTGTCTGCCCTGCGATGGGCAGGAGTCCCTGGCTGTACCCTTCCTTGTGCCTGTTGTTTTCTGGGATAGGTTCTGGCTCCTCCGTGACCCCGTACTGGATAAAGCAGGTAGAAAATTATGCACACCACAATCATGTGCCAGGTGAAACGTGCCAGGATGCTGCTCACGCCTTGTTTAAACAGAGCTGCTAATCTGAGTTTGCCACACAGGCTGACAATTAAGACAACTACAGTGAATTCAGAGCAATTCATTAAAACCTGGGTGGAAAGCACAGCCAGGCAGGGAGTACCCATGCCAGGCTTCACCCTACAGGATTAAAGAGTTTGACCACCACTGTTAGTAGAAATCATGAGGTAAGAAAAGAAGGTGTGGAAGATGCCAAAAACAGAAAACATGCACTAGGCTTCAGTGACTCCATCATGCCTTGCTTTCAGGATCAGGGTGAAGCAAAGACGTTCTAGGGGAGGGAGGATGAATTTGACGTGAGAGTTTACGTCAGTCAGAAACGGTCAGTTGGATGCCCCACTATTGGGTGCATTTGAGCCATGCAGCATTTCTATCTAGCACACTGATTGCGTGGGGATGTAGGACACAGAGCAGGGAGTGAGAGAAGCCATCACAGACCTTGACCAAGGACGTAAGAGAACAATCCCAGGGCCAGAATGACCCTTGCTGACAGGCAGCTCATTTTCAGGCTACAGCTGGTGGCCCCTGACCTCTGACCCTTGGCAAGAGCAATCCACATCTAATTATAGTCCACTGCCCTCTCAATAGCACAGATCTCCTGGAAAACAATGATATACATCACAGGCATTTTCAGCTACTAAATCTGTAAATAACCTATAATGTTATTTAATAATAATGGAAAACTGCAGCTAGTAGCACAAGATTTAAAAATGTTTCCAACTTTTTGCAAGAAACCTTGTATAAACATTTTTCTTTTTTTATTAAATAAACTGTGGGTGGAGTCCTCAACAACTGGTGTGTTAGCTGGCTGTACTATTGCAAAATTGACTGCAAAAAAGATTATTGTTAATACAACACCAAAGGTATGGTCTTCTGAGCAGGATCCCCGAGTATGAGCTATGGGTGACATATATCATGTCTCTATGTTCTTTCACAGGGAATCATATACAGTATATTCCCTTTAGAAGAGCAAATGCAGTTTATTATGTAACTGTACAGTAATGAATGAGTCACAATGATTAGCTAGAGCTACTGACTTCAGCAAAAACACAACGTGCTGGACAAACCCAAAAAGAAACTGTAGGTGCTAAAAGGTCTTTCCAGCTGGCTTAACAATGCGGGGGAAACGGTAATTAATTGGAAACTGAAACATTCAGGATGGAAAAGAACATTACGGATGAGCGTAGCAAGTCTGACAGTGCCCCTCTCAAACAGCACAGCTGTGAAAGCCATCACCATGCACCCAGGGGCTGTGCGCTGTTTCGGCATAGACACTGTTTCTCACACACAGCCACCCCCGCACACACTTAACAGAAGGATTCTTGGCACATTTATTCAGTAATTCCCAAATTTCATACCTTTTTTCAAAATTAACTCCTACTCATGTATTTTTACATACTCTTAAAAAACAAACGAATATCGGCCAACTAATATCTGTCCACAAGCTGTCAGAACAATGAATAGAAATCCTCTTCTTGAATCTTTTGTAGCCCGTTTCATATAAGGTATTTCACTTTGTCAAGCATTTTCCTGTCTTACTCTTATAACTCACAGCTGCAGGAGAGCAGGTGCTGAGGCTCGTTCCCTGAGAAGTGTGAGGGCGAGAGTGTGCTGTCTTACCCCAGTATCCAGCTGCGCTCCCTGCTCAGTGCTCAGTGCTCAGTGCTCAGTGTTCTTTGCTGTCTGCTGTGTAGTCTGGCTGTGCTGAGCCTGGCTCTGTGCTCTTTATATAGCGCTCTCGGGAGCCCTGGGGTCGGCTCTGTGCCACACAGAGGAAGCTAGATGAGAGCAGTAGGAAACCTCTGTCTGAACACGTTCTTTAGGAAGCTGATTAGCGCAAGATCAACATGAGGCAAAAGAAAACAGAAGCAAGGTAACAACTGACAATAGCAGTCACCAGGTACAGTGCTCATTAACACTGTACACTGTACAGTTAATATCACTGAGTCACTGAAAACACTGAATCGAGGTAAACGTATTGTGTTTACACATTTATTTAAAAGTAATTGGATACACATGCCGTAATGTGGTGGCCAAAAGCACACTTGATTTTCATTAATTTTAAAACAGGCACTTCTTCTAAATTCCAAAAAGTTCTTCATTATTGTAATTTAAATTTATGCCTTTGAGACAGCCATTTATCAATGCTGGGTGACTGTGCAATTAAAACCTAATCACACCCGAGCAATGATTTACTTTAACATTTCACACTGTTCATAAGCATGGCAATAAACTTTCATTACAGTTTGCCAATAACAGCACTCTGATTGTTAATGTCATGAAGGTTCTAAACTGTTTATAAGTCATTTCCAGTCCCTGAAGCCAAGCTTGTCATCAGCGATGCTGAGGGACGCACGAGGTACGAGGGAGGAATTCCAGTAAAATGTTTTGTTGGTGGTAGCAGGATGAAGTGAAATCTTTGTGTACTTTATCTATTTTCATTACAGGTGCAAGGTTACTCTCTCTCATGCATCTGTGAAAAAAAGCCATTCTCTCTTCCATGGAGCCCACTGTTTAGTAATAAACTGCTCAGTGGCTCTGCAGTTTAAAATGTTAACTTTTCTCTGCAATTCAAGTTGCAGATTCAAACTCAAGCAGTCATTACCAGTCACTTATCACCTGAGAAAGATGTGATTTCTGGGAATGCTGGACTGATGCTTCTGAACAGCTGAATCCAATTAGAGGCTTCCCTGAAGAACAAAGACCCATAACAAGTAATTATGAACATGTGAATTCATGCATGGTCAGATTATAAAAGATGAAATATATTACATTCACCACTTAGCTTATAGGCACAGTAATGTATTGACAACACAGAATAAAGCCATCTTTCACTTCCAGGCATGCAGACATACTGTTTGTGGGGCTGTTCTGCAGGTAACACAGCAGCATAATGTTAAAACCACTGCCACAGAGGCACAACAGTTAAAAGACAGGAATGCACAGTATAGCATGCACAGAGGTTCACAACACAGGGAGTGAATGTGAAGGTTACATAGAGAGAATACCATGGCTCTGGTGAAATAGGAGAGGGGAGTCTGAGTGCAGACAGGCACATGGGTCATTAAATGCCATCCTCAAGATGCCCAGGCTGCCTGTCACCCTTCCTGTGCTGATAGATCTCTTGGCACCAGTATGATTTACACTCATGACTCAATAGTACTGGCTAAACTGCTCCACTTATTCTACCGCCAAGGCTGAAAGTGCCCAGTGCTAGAGAACTGGTGCTGCTTGAAATACATTGCGGAGGCCATTGTTCTGGCCTCTTAACACAGCGGCCTTGACTCTGACGGAATACCTTTTTGAACAGGACACTTGCACGCTCCGATGCATTGAATGATTAATTCACATCATAACAAAATGCTATTCTTTTCCCAGGCTGTAACCATTTCATCTTATCCCCACCTTAAAATCCGAACCAGACATTTACACGCCCGTGACTGAATTGAGCTGGAAACATGATAAGATGCTGGATCTTACCACCAGTCTATAATGGGACACTTACATTCTGACACAGTTTTCACCTCTGTGTGGAGACATGAAAGCTCCCAGTGACTCCACAGTCACTGCCAGTCTGGAGAGGCCTCAGTTAATACAGCAGTGGCAAACAAGATGTGTGCTGGCCCATCGTACTGGGAAAAATTCATCATGACTAGGACTCATTCTCCTGAGCCCAACAATTCGAATAATGAAGACAACAAACTCTCTTTGGCATACCTCTGTATAAGATGACTAAAGCGAGGTGCTGTATGCTTCCATAATTGCAGTCTAGACTATAAAATTAGTTATGATGTAATAACCATTTAAATTTGGAGGTTTAATGATGTGTGACTGGGCACTATGATAGCCATTTCATGCTAATTTTACACAGTATGCTGTCATAATGCTGCAATGCCAGTCTCTGCATTAGTCAGTGAAGAATGGTGAAAGTATCTGACATATGGTTAGTTAAATCATGGATCATCCCCAGGCCTGTAGGAGGAATTTCTGAAAAGACAAATGCTCAAGGATTGAGCTGGTTTTCTACCAATACTCTAGATCATGACTGTGGATTGCATTGGTTTATCCAGGGCATTTTCATAAATCTCTGTCCTCATTGTCTTCATTTGATCCCCATTAAAAAGCACCCATTGCTTTATCACAGTGGAGCAGTGGTCAGGCTTCTGGTGTGGTAACTGGAAGGTTGTGGGTTCAAGTCCCAGATAGGACACTGCTGTTGTGCACTTGAACAGGATACTTCAGCCAGATTGCTCCAGTACAACACACAGCGGTTTTGATGCAAGTTGCTTTGGATAAAAGTGCCAGACAAATAAATGAAAGAAATGGAGGGAATTGCTGTGCAAATGTATGTGTGGTACACAGCATGTATCAACAGAGAACAGGTCCATACCAGTGTCACATTGGCTCACAGGGCCAGAGCTCATCCTGGTTTCTGTTGGGTTAAGAGGACTAGAGAGCAAGTGACTCCTCCCTAGACAGGACACCACTCCACCACAGGGATCACCCCTGTCATGCTGGTCCCCTCTGGTACAGAAGGGTGGCCTGGAGCCACAGGGGTAAAGTACTTCACTCAAGGTACAACTGCAGTGTCTGCAGTAGTGACTCGAACCCAAAGCCTGTCAGTCATGAGTGCAAAGGCTTACCCACCATACGTCACTGCTCTCATAACGAAATAAACACAACTGAAAAAAACGGCATTTTGAAATAGAACACACATCATCTTTCATGTCACTTACTGCTTCCAGTAAAAACCAGCAGAAATTTGAGATGTGCGCCAAAGGCAAAAAAAACATGTTTGGAAACATAGCAATCATTTTCTTTCAACTAGTTTTGTCAAAAACCCATCGTCATGAAGGAAGAATTCAGGAATAAAAAGCTTACAGTTGAGTTTGTAACTGCTTCATGCAACAACACCCACAGTATGCTCCTGGAAGCAGAAGAACCAGGAATGCTACAACCTGAAGTATCTTTAACAGAAAAGCCCAGTTTCATAAACATATCACTGCTTATGTTTTTACAAGGCATACGTATTCCATTTCCAAGCCTGTGCTTTTGTTTACAATGAGATAATAAAACTAGAGGTAATTAGGAAGTGGTTAGTGTGCCCGACTAATTGCCAGAACAGCATGAGCTGAACCTTCACTTCAGGTGGATTTAAAAAGAGTTGTTTATGAGCTGAAAGCACGTATTGGGAATAACAGCTTGTTCACTTTGTTCAAACGAAAGAATGAAATAGTTTGTGGTTTAATTGTTGTGTTTATGTTCTATGGAAGCACTGCATTTTCATTGGTCTGGTGTCACTTCTCTGCAGAAGACACACATGTCAATTCTATTAAAATAAATGCCAAAAACAGCTTCCTGTAATAGCAGGGGAGAATCTCACTTTTCACAACTTTCCAATCGATCGCTAGGTTTTTAAACATGGGTTTTTTGCCTTTGGAACACATCTCAAATTTCTGCTAATAGTTTTAGGCTGTCAGTGTGTAACCTGGTAAGATGGATCAAAACACAGCGCCATATTATTACTCCTGCAGGACTTCGTTGGTCAGCATTCCAAACACAGCGGACACTCTTGTCTGACAGCTGCTCCAGTCCCGAACAACCTTAACTATGCATTGTCCATTTCCCATAGACACAGCTACAAGATGCGTCTGTCCTATTCTGAGGTTTTGATAAGTCCCAGTTCACTAGGAATAACAACACCCAAGAATAAAATGAACTGAAAGGATTATGGAGTATTTTAGTCAAAATGTGGCTAACCCACTTGGATGAAGGCTGACCTCCTGGCCACAGGACGAGGAGGCTGGGACTCCTCTGCAGAGTGAGCAGTGACCAAGGGGCAGCTGCAGAGGTGCAGGTGGGCTGGAGGTGGGATGCAAAAAGAAACGTGTGAGGGAGAGAAGGGGATCACGTATGGTATTTAGTGTATTTAGTGTAGTATTTATAGTGTTTTAGGAGAGGAAATGACATCAGTAGTGATTTCTAGTTACTGACAGCCATGTCTGATTGAACTTGGCTGTTGTCATCCCTCCCAGACTTCTTTACAAACTCCATTTAAGCTACTGCTAAGCCAGTTTTTTGGGGTTTAAAAATAACTATTTTGTGTTGTTACAATATCATCAGTGAGTTATACTGAAATGGAGTAACATTATTTCATTTGAAAAGACAAAGCTAGACCATTGTTTTAAGTGAGCATTGCGGACAAACACAAATCAAAACAGGCGAACACACTCACAGGCTGTTCCTGGGCACCGGTCCCTTTACGGCTGGGGGTGAGCGTGCCGTCCACAAGGATTACATCATCTGGAGTTTGTCAGACACAAGCCTGCTATGCTGAGAGATAAGACTCTGCAGACAGATAAGTCCAGAATTAACAGGCTGCAGCAGACCTCCCACTAGAGATGTTGAGAGTGTCTCCTAGGTCACACAGTACAGCTTGTAAAGTTTTTAGGAAAAATCGAAGGTGGAAAAAAAAAAACGTATTTTTAGTATTGCTTAATAGTTAATTGATGCTTGATGGGAATCTGCTCATCCTTGGATAAACGTAGGCTACTTTTCTACTTATCAATGAGCAGACTCTGATTATTCAACTTCAATGGGAGGCTTACTCTACTTTCAAGAAGAAAACATCCATGTTTGGACACCTAAAGTGAATTTGGACAACTAAAGAGAATGAGCACACAAAAACAGTTAGGTCTTTGCAA